TTCGGCATCTGACAATGAGGCGGCAAACGCTTGTCATTACGTAATATTAGATAAATGTCTGTAAAACGTAAATGTCTGCTGCATTCTCGGCAACAACAGTTATCGATAGACCTTTCTTTGTACATACTTTACCGAGAAAATGATACGAGGGAAAGGAAAGGAAATTTTTATATCCGCGTGTATAGTAACGCGTGTCGTTTAACGCGACGCGACGCGTCACCCAACAAACTCTATTGTTCGATTCGATTCGATTCGATTCGATTCGATTCGATACTCGACTCGGCTCAAGTATAAAAAACAAATTTCTCAGATTCTCTCTCTCTCTCTCTCTCTCTCTCTCTCTCTCTTCTGGCAGATACAATGAAGAATTAGAGAAACGTGCGACAGTTACGCCTCCCTATTTCGTAATAGAGATGCCTTTCGTACTCTCGGTATAGGCGCGTCCGTTGTAAATACACTCTGATCGTTTGCTTCCGTTCGTTTCACAATCGTTCGTCGCGGCTGCAAACTGTGTTGTCAACGTTCTACGAAACTAACAAAGACGCGGAAAGTGCGATTAACCGAGGCCTTTGAACAAACTCGAATGATTTAATTACGATTTTATCGCAAAACTGCGTGGATGAAACCTTTTTTCAACGAGAAACAAGAACGAACCTTGTACAATAATCGAGAGTAATGGTCGTCGTCAGAACTAAAGTTAAAAAACACGTTCTAGCATACTTACAGCTGATGCTAACGGTACTATCTAACGGTTATTATCATTCTATTATTATTATTCCTACTATTGACAATTCTCCTGTAAACTACTACCGCTACTAATTAGACTAGAACGATTAAGAAAGGGTCTGTTTCCGCTCCGACGATAGCATGTACTTACTCTCTCTCTCTCTCTCTCTCTCTCTCTCTCTCTCTCTCCTACCCCTGCCATCCACCACTTTCCATCAACTTTCTTCAGTTTTCTCCATTTATCCTTCACTACTCTGCCTTCTTTTTCTACAGCCGCACGCAGTGTATATGCGCAGACTACGCATACATGCAAACACACACATGCAAACACACACACACACACAGAACACGTGAAGGTGCAAACGTTGATATAAAAATACAAATACTGGTATACATAGGTATGCGGAAAGAAAGAAAAATACCTACTTACCTCACGGTTTGTAGATACCACGTACACTCCCATACTCTGGGCCCTCTCCCATACTTCGTTCCCCTAATCTCACTTGACCTCAATTGCGTTATCGTAATTTTAGTTGAAGATCAAGCGGAGGGTCTTTTACTCTAGCTAGTGTTTTACTCGATTAAACTTCTATGCAATTGTTGTTCTCTCGTTAATAAAAAGTCCGACAAAGAAGAATATCACGGTCCAGATCACGTATACACATATACATATATATATATATGTATGTATATATATATATATATACACATGTACATGTATATGTATATATAAGTATTTACCTACTATACCCAAACTTTATTTCCTTCCCGAGACACCGACCGATCGAGGACGCAAACGCGTCCCATTCTCGTTCGTTCATCTACTTACTTACCTAAGTACCTACTTTACTTCGTTTCATCCAATATCCATTTCTTCTTCGTTTATCGCCACTTTCTACCTATAATATACATACTTCTACTCGGAAGAACATTCTGAAAATACAATCACGACGCAAGTGTCTTCGCAATAGAAATGCTAACGTATGCATTTTCTATAAAGGCAATCTTCATGCACGCACGCATTGTCACACGCATTTTCACATAGCATTGTCATTGTACCAAGAACGAATACTTTTTGTAAATAAACAATATGCTAATATTGCTAATTTGTCTCCTTCATCTAAGGATTCTACGGAGAAATTTTCTTCTTCGTTAACGTTTCTTTAAGTTCGTTAAATTTAAACACACCTCGTCTTTACCCTTACTTCTTCCTCCTTTTCCTCTGTCTCCTTCATTTACATATAATACATCACCGCGCACTTCCGATATTCATTCAAACTCTTACCATATTCTTTCTCTACGCTTTTTCACGAGTTACACAACCGTACATGACACAACGAGCCTACGTAGTATCATATACGCATTTATACGTCATCTTGGATATAGCAATGTCAAAAAGTAAACTGGCCTAAGGCCAAAACTGAGAAGAAATAAAGAAATAAATCGTTTTATCTTTCGATAATTTCCATCGT